GGGAAGGCGGGGGAGGGGGGGAAGGTACGGGAAAGGTACGGGAGGGACTGCACAGGAGGGATGGCGGGGGAGGGATGGCGGGGGAAGGAAGGTGGCGCAGAAGCCGGGGGAAGGCGGGGGAATGCGGGGAAAGAAAGGACCTATTACGTAATCGGTCAGTTTCTGAAACTGACGGATACTGACCGATTACGTAATCGGTCGTTTTTCAAACTGACCGATTACATAATAGGTCTGTTTCAGAAACGAACGATAACATAATCGGTCAGTTTCAGAACCGACCAATTAGGTGGATTGAAGGCGGCGGGTTGAAGGCGGGGGAAGTTTGGTGCCCCGATGGGCGACGGATCAGATATTAAACTAATGACAACAGCTGCTGATGCTAACGGTAATTTTTCTCCTGTTGTTGCTGCTGTTGTGCATGCTGTTGCTGGTCGCTTGCATTTGCTGATCACAATGCTGATATGTCCCCTGATTGCTCAATTTGGTACGCCGTTATGTATTTATTTATTATTATTTTTTTTTTAGTCTTTCGTTAATTATATTATGGAGAGGCTTGAAGTCATTTTCGCAAAAGATTGAAAGGTTCATGTGCACTCTCACCATAGTCATGTTTGGGGAGGTTTGAAGTGTCCACATCATTGATGATGTTGCTTTGACTGTCGTCTTTCTTATTATTTTGCAGATCTTTTGTGACAGTCTCTGCTCCTGCGTCTGCTTCTACTTTGTCGTTTTCATGGAATCACGCCTGGCTACTCGGGGGGCTCAAACTCCGGTGTCTTCTCAAGTGCGATTGGGGGAGCCCTCCTGGTCCGCTGGGGGCGGGCAACAACTTCAGGGTCCCTCTATCCGGCAGCCCTCTCTCCTTCTCAATGCCAATATGGCTGCGCCTAAGCGAGCCCCTGCAGCGTCCCCCGCGCAGGTGCAGCAAGGCTCTTTGCAGAGGAGGGAAAAGGGAAGTGGCAGAATGCAGCCTGCCACGCCTGCAGTGGCGAGCCCTGGGTCAGACCAGCGGCCGAGCAAGAGAGCTAAGGGAGGAAAAGGGGGTGCTGGGGGTAAAGGGAAGTCTGTGGCCGTTCCTTTTATTGCGACTCTTGATCTCGTGCCTCCTGCATCTTATCGGACTCCATTGCAAAAAATGGAAAGTGCGTTGGTGCATCTACATCCGAAGAAATTAGGCGACAAGTCAATCAGCCTTCCCATGTCTTGTATGACGAGGCCACCGGTTGACACTCGAGATGGCAGACGCTCCAGCGAGATAAGAGAGCCCAGAGAGTACCAAGTTAGGGTCCTCATGACCTCTATGGAGAGGGCGCCTTGTGGGGACCATCTCCCATTCGCTGGTATGATTGACCCTTCTCAGTGCACATCTGTAGATCAGGTTGACAAGGAGAAACTCAGGGAAGGGGGTTATACTGTGTGGCTTATTGGTGGTGGCCATTCTCGAGAACCCCGCAGTAGGCTGATGCTCAAACACCCCACCGTGGATTTCTACAAGAGATACACATGCTACGTGTATGTCGGCCTCACTGTGGAAGAGGTGATTCTCGTCGGGCACGAGCACAACCATGCTGCAGGGTTTCACAAGCAGCTCACATTTGTTCAAAGAATGCGCTGTTGGAGGCAGACTTTTGAGAAGTTGGGCAGTGACAAGACTCTGGAGGTCAAGAAGGCTTGCTTGGAGGCTTTTGGTCTGAAGGCAACCTGTTGGGACCAGGTATCGAACTGGGATCCTCAACTTCAAATCTGCATGCGGGGCGCTGAGGTCTAGGCTTTGATGTCTGACTTTTTTTACCTTTGGGAGGAGGCAAAGATAAAGGATGTGAAGATGAAGAGGGGGGTAGGAGGGAAAAAGGTAAAGTCCATTCATGCAGCAGACTTGTCGGTAGGCCACAAAAAAAAGGGTGGAAGGCCGAAGAGGAAACCGATTGATATGTGTGAGCAGAGGTTGTCGTTGATGACCCTCAATCCGTGGATGTACGTAACTGAGAAGAACGAAGTCGTCAACGAGCCAGCGGATATGCCATATAAGCCCTGACTTATGATGGCTGCACTTGACGACGCCGTCGTCATCCCTGTCCTCACTGAGGTTAAGAGTGAGATTCTGTCCCTTGATGAGATGGCGGAGAAGTTCAAGATCCTCAAAACTCATCAAAGGACAGCGGCCGCTTTTATGAAGGAGGTGGGGGTAGAAAGCTGGGAGAAAGTCAAAGAGGAGTTCCCAGTTCACACACAAGAGGCGATGTTATCCCAGTACTATGGCCTGTTTGACAAGAATATCAAAGGGACCCCGCGTCCTATGCAGTTGTATGCGGCCAAGGCCCTTAACTACAGGGATAAGATTTCCCAACACGAGCAGCACGCAGCTGGAACACAAGATCCTGAGGGGTTGCTTGCTGACTGGGTTTCATTTGAGGGGGAAGGCTACAAGGGGAGTGTTAAGGTGATGCACTGTGACATGCTTCAACTGAGTGACAAATTGGAGGATAGGCTGTCGTTCACTCTATGCATCTTCGACTTCCCTTGTGGATATGATGCCGATGGCTCTGCTCACGATGCGGAGCGCTTCACGAAGCTTCAGATTGAGGCGTCCGTGGAGAACTTCAAGAAGATCATCTGTTCTCCTTTCTGGGTGCTTGCAGGCTTCTGCTCTACTGACATGCTCAGCGATGTCACATCTGTGTTTTCTGCTGCGCGCAATGCTGGGGTGGAGGTGGGTGTTTGGGTTGCTCCCAATGTTGCTTCTCCTGGTGGGCTCAAGTTCACTAACTGTTGGCAGCACTGTGTTTTTGGCTTTCATAATGACAGCGGAACTAGGGAACCCCTGCAGTTTCAATTCAATAATGCTGACTCAAGGTTGAATTGCTGGAGTCACAATGCAGTGACCAAGAAGTATGTCTTTGCTGCAGACAACGAGATCCTTTGTCCGTACCAGAAACCTGTCACGCTGTACGAGTGGCTCATCACCAAGTTCTCTAACCCGAATGACTCGTATATTGTAGATGCATTCTCAGGGTCAGGGATTGGGGTTGTTGCAGGGCTTCTCTGCAAAAGGAATGTCTTGGCTGTGGAGGTTGATCTGCGTTGTGTGAGGAGGATCAGGGTCAGGCTAGCGGGGAGGGACTTCCAGGAGAGTGCAAAGCAGGAAAAGGAGAGCACCGGCCGGACAGTCGCAGAAGGCTGGAGACATGCTTAGTCTGTTTGCACAGTCTCGTTTTCATTTCTATGCTTGTCTTCAAATGTTCCATTGCATTTCATGCTCACTGATTTGTATGGGGGCCTGATTGGAGAGAGCGTCTTTATCGACTTTCAATTTTTATTGCAGAGTTGTTGTGACGTTTGTTTTCACAAGGACTCTAGATGCATTTCCTTTGTGATTTTTTTTTATTTTTTTTTTTTCTCCTTATTGCTCATATGTGGCCCCCCCCAATGCATGCATGCGGCTGGGGGCCGCCATACACGGGGGGGCCGTACATGGGGGGCCACGATACATGAGGGGGGCCGTGCATGTGTGCACCTTACATGAGGGCCTCGCGTATACGGGTTCCCCCATACATGGGGGGCATTAGGGCCCCCCATGCATGCAGCCCCCCCCAAAAAAAATGCATGTGTGGAGGCCATGCAAACATGCGGGACCCCTATGTGCGGGGGGCCATATATGCCTCACATAGGGGGCTGGCACATATCGAGATATAGGAATTGGGGGAATGGTTAAACGGGTTCCCCTGTGCATAGGGGCCCATGCATGTCAGGGCCCCTCATTTGGGCATCCCCCCTGCATGCACGGGCCCCCCTCCAGACATGCATGCGCCCCCCCCCCCATATATATGGGGGGCCCTCTATGCATGCGCCCCTCCCTATGCATGCAGGGACCCCTGCACACGGGGCCCTTTTCCTGTTTCCTTGTCTTCGCATCTCCATTGGGGATAAGGCTTCTTACAACGAAAACAGTGGCTGTTCTCAAAATTTCTATAAAAACCGTTTTTTTTTTTTTTTTTTTTTTCAACAAGCTTTTTCGTTTTGCTAAAAATAGGTTTTCCTCAAAGCTGTGATTCACCAAGCTTTTTCGTTTTGCTAAAAATAGGTTTTCCTCAAAGTTGTGATTCAACAAGCTTTTTCGTTTTGCTAAAAATAGGTTTTCCTCAAAGTTGTAATGACATACGAGCCTCGAGTCACATTGCGTTTGGCCGAATATAATTTTCTATAGAAAACATTGTGGACTTTGCAAACTGGACTTTTTTCTTGGTCCACTTTTCACGAATAGCTTGTTATTACCATCTCAACCGTATAGATGGCTTTTTCCACCCACTTCTCTTCTTCAGCACGCCTTATCTCGCTCAATCCTTTCCCCAGCCTCTTACCTACTCATTTTTCCCGCATCAAACAAAGTCCACTGGCAACCTCGTATCCTTTCACTTAATACTTCCCATAAATTCATCATCCCAAAGTCAGAATACTCGTGTATCCCCAGTCCCAGAGTGCACCACTCATGCACCAATCCCGCTACCTTAGGACTTTCCGCCATCCTCTTCACCTCGTAGCTCATCAATATCCTCACAAATCACCTCCGCCATCTCTTCATCCACATCATCACTCTTCTCCTCCACCCCACACTTCCACCCACGCCGCATCCCGTAACCATAACGCATGAACGTTCCCACACTATTCCATGTTCCGTGCCTCAGCATCTCTCCTAAACTTCAACCTTCCTCTATTCCCGCTCGTAAACCTCCAATTCGGAAACTATGACCGCTTTCACCCTCATACAGCCCTGCTTCACCAAACCATTTCTCTACGCGTTTGTTAAAAGCTCCCCCACCAAGCGCATTGCTCCCCTCCCACTCCTAAATAAGTATCCTCTCCTCACATCCACACCTACGCTTTCGTATGCCAACATCAACCTGGAAGAATTCCTAAGAATGTTTCCTCTTGAGCATTACGTTCCCTTAAACGAATCAGAAACCGCCCTCCATGCCTATTTGTCTTCGTGTATCCTGGACGAACTTCCCGATTCACTATATCTATCTCCTTGTATTGCAACCGCAATCCTTCGCCGCACCGCTGCCAACTTTCCCACAAATACAAAAACATCGTTGCATCTCGATAAGTCTCTGCTTCTCGCATCCTTTTTAGAGTCTTCATCATATTTCGAATATACTTCACCACCGTAATTAGTTTCTCCCACTCTAGAGGGCGCGCTGATTCCTCAGTCACACCTCGACTCAACTCATACTCTCTGTACGATTTCTTGAAAACCTTCACACGGGTGCTTTGGCATGGATCATCACTCTCCTCCCGACCTAAGAGTCAAAAGCTCCCACTCAAGCAATTGATAACAACATCCACTGTCGATGGCGAAACCTTTGGCTCTCCCGTGTTGTCTTGTGTTCGGCATCTACTGTCTATCTCAACCAACCACTGACTACTAAGGAACGACAGTACATCCAAATCATTGCATGTCACACAACTCCTTCCAACACCGTGTCTCTCAAGCCACTCATTCAACCCAAGAAGAAGCTTCTGCAGTCCATTTCGCCATCGTTTCCCAGGACCAAGCTCCTCACTTAGCCGGCTGCTCCATTCCAGCCCAGCCTGGTAATTTCCTGCTATCTCCGGAGTCGCTCGCTTCTGACGCCAGCTTCCATCACTCATCCGCTCGTTCCACCACTCCCTGCAAGATGACAAGTCACGTGTGGGATGATGGAGGGATTTGGGATTGTCTAGGAGGTGTGTGGGCCTGCGGCCCAACTCTATGACTCTCTTCCGAGTGATCTGGCATCATCTGCGGTTTGTACTTTTCCTATTTTATCTGGATCGGCCTTGGGCAGCAACTCACCTACATCGGGACATATGGTTGGATTCAACTTCTTTGGTCCCAGACTACATCTCCCCAGAACTACGTTCCCAACAACCGGACGCCACTTGCTATAATCCTTGGGACACTCATTGCAGTTGATTCTCTACATCTACGGTTGGACTACTTTTTGTTCCATCTACTTTTTCAGTTCTCAGCATCTACGGCGGAAGCATCAAGATCTAAGGCTCTATCAAAAGGACCATTGGGACTCACCTGGCAGGAAGCAGTCCCTCGGCGGTCCGACCTCCGCTGCTTCCAGGCGCTGCAAGAGTATATGTAACTGGAGAAGGACCGGTCGCGGCAGGCTGACTCAACTCGCGCTGCGCACTCTCTGGATTTCTCCCACCCGCTGCCGCGCCCATAGTGTACGCAATCCTGCACGTCACAATCAAACCAGTCAGCCAGATACTCGGAGGACAGGTCATTCACGTCGCCTATCTTGGTGAAGCGGCCCCGCCCACCCAGGATTTTCCCGCGGTGTGTGGGCCTGCGGCCCAACTCTATGACTCTCTTCCGAGTGATCTGGCATCATCCGCGGTTTGTACTTTTCCTATTTTATCTGGATCGGCCCTGGGCAAAAATAGATCGAGAAGGTCGCTTTGCCGCTTGCCCGTGGTTATCGGACACACATGATTAACAAGGACCGGGGTTAGGTCCTTAGAAGACAAGTTAGCCTCCTTTGGAATGCCGAGCTTTAATGGACTATTTTTTTGGAAAGTTGTTTTTGAACTATATGGGACGCTGGACCCGGTTTCCAGCAGGGAAAGGGGTAGAGCAGGACCAAGAGGAGTGACTCGGAGCTATGTTTATAAGCGAAACTGGCTGAGGCTGCCAGGATAACTCCGGGTTGAATTGTGAGGTCCCCGGCCTCGTCCCATTACTTTGCAAAGCACTTTGAAACTTTCCACAAAAAAAAAAAAAACAAAAAAAAAACGACTTCTCACATGCTCGGCGGTTGGAGGATGTTCCCTGCTGCGAAGGAGTAGTTTCCCTGCTGCCATCACAAAGGGCAGGTGCATGATCTGCAAGTGGATGGAAAAACGATAAGATGGGATCTTCTCACGTGCTTGTTGCATCACAAGGGGCAGGTGCATGATCTGCAAGTGGATGGAAAACCGATAAGATGGGATCTTCTCACGTGCTTGTCGCTTTTAGAAGTATGTTCCCTGCCACGAAGGAGTAGGTTCCCTACTGCCAGACAAAGGGCAGGTGCATGATCTGCAGGTGGATGGGAAAACCATAAGATGGGATCCGACAGGAATGAGGGGCAGAATAGGCATTCCTCTCTTGTTTGCCCATTTCGAGAGTAGTGGGAGGGTCTCGCTCCACTACTATACACTCTCCGAATTTGGAGAGTTCGGCGTCGCTCCACTTACTGTACACTATACACGTGTGAAATCGCTTGGATAACTGTCAGAAATCGGTCGTAGAATCCACTCTCCGTCGGTGTAGGGTCTCGCTCCACTACTATCTGCTGTACACAATTTCGTATAGCGGCCCCTATTGCTGTTAGAGCTCTGAAAACCGTATAAAACCTAGTGTAGCTCCACTTACTATCCGCTATACGAGTCTCCAATTTTGGAGTTCACTACAAAACACTCTCACAGCACTACAAGACATCAATTTGTCAGCCCAGACTCCAGGCTCTCCATACTATTTTGCGATGCTACGCCGACCTCCTTCAACCACCCTCCGAGCAATGACTTCTGCAGGCTGTGAACTATACGGGATCGTATGGTGAATCGGGAGGGCGCCATCTGACATCCATACGTTGATTTCCGAAGGTGGATTTCAGATAGTAAGTGGAGCGGTGACTTAGGGTCTCACTGCACTACTCTCCACTGTCCGAAAGTCCGGATAGTTGGCGGAGAGCTGAAAAGCTCTCCCAATTCGTGGTTTGTAGTGCATAGCTGCACTAGCTATCCGCTCTCCGAGAGTCCGAGTGGTGACTGCACTAACAGACAACGTGAAATCGCTATCGTACACGGCCCAATTTCCATTTGTCTGCCCAGACTCGAGGCACACTCTCCGAATTCGGAGCATTTTGTGGACTCCCACCGAGGTCCATCTGAAAAACCTTCCTTGCAGGCTGGGCACTATCCGTGACACGGATAGTGCTTCTCGTGGTTGGTCTCTGACAGCTATCCGAACTTTTCCATGGGATGGAATCAGATAGTTAGTGCAGCGATGCCCAACTCTCCGAAATCGGAGAGTGGATAGTAGTGCAGCGAGACCCTTACTATCTGAAATCGTACAGAAGATAGTTGTGGAGCGAGACCCTAGTTCCCAGCCTGCCAAACTCGTTACTCGGATACTCCGAGAAGGGTGGTCGAAGGAGGCCGCCGTTCGAACACGAAATCGTATAGCCCCCGTGGAGTCTGGGCCGACAAACTGCTGTCTTGTAGTGCTCTTAGGGTGTTTTGTAGTGAACTCAGGAATTGGAGAGCTGTATAGCGGATACACGAAATCTCAGGAATTGGAGAGCTGTAAGTGGAGCGACGGCGCAGACTATACACGAAATCTCCGTTTTTTGGTACTCTGACAGCTATACACGAACTCTCCGAAATTCAGTATAGCGGACAGTGGTGGACTACTATACACTATACACAAACTCAACATGTTCGTGTATAGCTGTCAGAGTGCCGAAAAAACGTAGAGTGCGCGCCGTCGCTCCACTTACTATACACTATACAACTCTCCGATTTTGCTCCGATACGAATTTTGTATAGTGTACAGTAGTGGAGCCTTGATGGCACTGTCCACTCCGGACTGGTGTTGTCCCACATAGGTCCCACCGACATCTGGCGGGAAAGGTGTGTGTTCTCGTCAGCGCAGGCTTTTCACGGCAAACTTCGTGTGCCGTAGGATTCAATCATCGCACGGCCACTGTTGGTGCCCTTGTGACATGCAAAGCATGCATTTCGGAAAACCCCGAGCATGCATTTCCCCGTTGTTTTCGACAAAGTGCAGTATCTACTTCCAAGACCCAGGCGTGCACTCCGACACTACGCGGGGACACGCACTTGGTACTGGTACCAGTGCCCGCTATACAACTTTCGATCGGCGCGGATAGTGCAAAAGGACACCCGGGTCAGATTTGTCGGTCCAGACTTGAGGTGCACCATACAAAAAAGGCGGCGGGTCCGTGGTTTCCTTGGAGGAGTATCCGAGTAACGACTTTTGCAGGCTGGGAACTATACACAAATGTCGGTCCACGGCCGATTTCTGACAACTAAAGTGTATAGTGTGTAGTAGTGGAGCGAGACCCCCTGAATCTTCTGCTACAACTTGGAGAGAAACACCGCGGCACAAAAAAAAAAAGAAAAAAAAAAAAAAAGAAAAGAAACACTGCGGCAATGATTTTTGTCTGTTGTGCATGTTGAGAGTAGTGGAGCGAGGCGCAACCCTCCACCTTTGGGCCTCGCTGCACTACTCTCGAAATGTGCAAAACGAGAGTGAATCTTCCACTAGAATATGGAAAGATACACCGTCAATATTTTTGTCTTTTGTGCGTGTCGAGAGTAGTGCAGCGAGGCCATTTTTCTCTTTTTTTTTTCGACACTCGACACGTAGATTTGGGCCGTTTATCTTCCGCTAAACTTTTTTTTGATCGACGTGTCGTCTCGACACTACCAGAGGATACCCCTGTAAGCTTCTTTCCTCCTCCAACCGACCACACCCACTTTACAGCAGTTGCCTGCATTACTGTGATGTTGATGCACTGTGCTGGGGGGACACAGGCAGACTTCACCTCCTGCTCTGTATAAAGGCGCATTAACGGGCACTCTGCGTACAGTGCGCTGCGATCTGCTCACTGATCGTGGGCGGTCTCGGGGGATCGCAGGCGGGAGGTCCGAGAAGCGGCGTCGGCTCTCTCTTCTTCCACGGCATGTCAGCCGAGGAGAGGGAGCTCAACTTGAAGGGGCGACTCCAGGCGAACAGCTCCGCGAGCGGCGAATTGGGGAGGGCGGTATCTGCTGCCATCGTCGTAACAGCTCATCTGTCGCTGGGCGCGCGGAGACAGGAGCACGGTGAGGCGAAAGGCGTGGACGACGAGGATCAGGCACACGGTTTTCGAGTCCGTGTCTACGATGGCGGCGATGTGGTCGTGCTGTTGCTGGGGCTTCTCCAGCTTGCCGTTCCTGGACTTGCTCAAACTCCGCCATCTGGTACGGTAAGGCTCGAGAGCTACAGATATAGTGGCTCTGGCTGTCCGCCTGGACGTGCAAACGGCCTACTCTCCCCCGACGGAACGGGGCTCACTGTATTTTTCGCGGAGTACGCGGCGTTCACCCCAGGAAGTCCAGATGACCAGGTGAAGAAATGCCTACTGGCCGTCGAGCTGATCTATCCTGCTGGGTTCGCGTTTACTCTGGAGAGTGTGACAGTCAAAGGGATCGCCCATTTCGAGGAAGGCGTCAAGGGTTCACTGGAAGTCGGCTACTACATCTCAGGTATCCCAGGGGAAGTCAGAACGCTGCGCAGGTTGGCACCTCCCGTCGACGACATCTTTAAGTTCGACGATGACTTCTTAACCTTTGTCTATGCACCGTGTGGCAGTGCGTTGACGACGCTCAATGTCTATTCCGAGGTAAGAGTAGTGCCTCCTCCCCCGCCGAGCAATAACAACAACGGTTCGATCTTCATCGACACCCATGATTTTCATCTGCGCTGGAAGAAGTGCTAAGAGCATACTCGTGCTAAAGCATTTCTGGAGCCGCTGGCGGCAAATGCAGCGGAATCCAGTTCAGAAGAAAGTCGTAATATAAGCATGGCCGAAGCTGATTTAACCAGGCGTCAACAACAGGGCGGGCGGTGGTTCGACATCAACAAGCTACTTGGAGAGAAGCGAAATGAGCAAGCGGGAGGCGATCAGCCTGGAGATTAGTGGATTAATGTATCGTTCCGCAGCTGCATTGTATTGTCCGGGGCGCGTCACCGAGCGTGGTCAGCTAAGAACTGGCGACATCACCGACACAGGGGATCGGACGTGTGTGTGTACAACAGCACTTCGCTGATGGAGCTCAATAGGAAGCCTAGCCAGTTGTGRAACYGGTCASTCAAMGATCATTATAATTATATATAGAGTACGTATTTAATGTCTGGCAGGCGAGCGAGTTTCCGCGTCACGTAATTTCTAAACCTGCAAAAGRAYACGCTGGCATCTAGGACTTCCGGTGCTGGGGAAGACCCCAAGCCGAGTGCGAGAACTGTTGCGTAAAGATGAAGTAGACGGCCGTAGCGAACAACAAGGCATACTACTTAGTACTTAGTGCTCTCTCTCTCTCTCTCTCTCTCTCTCTCTCTCTCTCTNCTCTCTCTCTCTCTCTCTCTCTCTCTCTCTCTCTCTCTCTCTCTCTCTCTCTCTCTCTCTCTCCACTTTGTTTCACTTGCTGGCTTGCTCTTTCGCTTGCTCCATGTGTTCGTGTGTGACGCACATCTTCAGAGTCCGAGTCGACACCCACAGGAGTGTCTCGACCGCGGAGGCACGAAGTGCGATATTAGCGTGAATATGATCTCTTCTTGTAAAGAAGAATCGTCTTTTCCAGTGAATTCCTGCACATGTAAAATTTCTCGAAATCGGTGCATTGTTCTCCTGTATCAACATGTGTTTGCGTGTCCCCCCACCCACTGTCATGATTGGAGTGCGTCTGTGCGTAGCACGAGTTGTTGGTTCCGTTGGAGTGTATGCTTTGCTCTTCCCACCAATTGGTATGAGCCTTTTTTTGTGTTTGCGCTCGCTGGTTCTCGATCTCATGGGCCTACTGTCTCTCAACGTTTTTTTAACGAACAGACACACGTAGCCTTTGTACTCGCTTGTGCTTGAACGCCCAGCTAGTAGAAGAGTAAATGGAATTCTCCGCCAGAAATATTTTCGTTTTCGGCGAAAAAAATCAGCACGCAATCTATTTTCCTGATTTTCCTTTTTCGTCTTGAATTCTTCCTATTCTTTGAATTTCATACCTGTATTTACTTTTTAAGAAAACTTGTACAAGCTCTCCTTTGTGCTGAAATACCCCCCAAAAGATGTGGGAAGATGGCAACACCCCTCTGAAATTTCAAAGGAAAATTTTCCAAAGCCTTTGAAATGCCCTTTTGGATTTAAATCTTTGCGATCTACCCCTGTCAGGTGGAGGTGCAAGTATGCATTCTGCCCCTGACAGGTGAATAGCACAAACACAGCAACCCCGCGCCAACAGTTTAATTCAAGGGAAAGGGCATTTCACAAACTTCTGGAATTTCACATGAACGCCCCTGTGCAAGGATGACAGTCAGAAATCCCGAAATGATCCAAAATTTTCAAAGGGGAGAGAAAATTCAGAGGGGTTTTCCACTCTACCGACATCTTTTAGTACGGGTATTTTACCACATAAGCTCCAACTTCTTCACTGTGCAAAGGGTATTTCGCAACTTCCTCCCTTTTGCTTTCCTGAAGGACTTTTGTATTACAGTATTATACATGAGCCCACCGCCCAAGGCAACAATCAAAACATCACTTGGTCCATCGGACCACACGATATTAAATTAATTTTTCTGGGCCTCTGGGCCACGGAGGGGTCGTACGAGTAAGCTTGCTTACTCGACCCCTCTATTGTCTCCTCTGTATTGCACTGCAGCAGAGTGTGCCGCAGCCCTCTAAGAAACAAAACAAAAAAAAACAATCAAAACATCAATCCAGTTCCAACAGCCACGGAAGAGACGGGAAGCCGGCTGCCCGGCGGTGGGTGTAGCCATGGACATCATCTCATCTAACAACTAATAAGATCGAACAGGTGATTACACATCTCCTATGTATCAGCCGCAGTCATGACCATGGGGCCGCTGATCACATGAGGTTGGGATCATGACCGCCGGGCCCGACGGGCCCGACTGCGGCCGGGAAAATTAACTTGTAGGGAAATAGGAGAAAAAAAAAAAAAGAAAAAAAAAAAGAATATATATATATGATGAGTCGGTGAAACTCCGACGAAACAGTTTGTCACAGCCCCTCCTTTGTTGTCCTCTTCTCTCTCTCTGCCTACGGTTTACTGGGCAGTTCTGTTTGTGGAGATATATATATATATATATATATATAAACTCCGACGAAACAGTTTGTCACAGCCCCTCGTTTGTTGTCCTCTTCTCTCTCTCTGCCTACGGTTTTACCGGGCAGTTCTGTTATCGTCACAAACAGAACTGCCCGGTAAAACCGTAGGCAGAGAGAGAGAAGAGGACAACAAACGAGGGGCTGTGACAAACTGTTTCGTCGGATATATGCAATGAGCCCAGACGTGATGATACTCGTCAAATTACCAGTCCATATGATTATCGATCTGCTGACGAATGACAAACAATCGCAAATGTGTGTGATGATAGAATGAGGTGAGAATCATACACAGACGAAGGAGGAGAGAGGGAGAATAGACAAAGGAGAGAGAAGAAGACRACAGCCCACTTCTTCTTCGGGTTCCTCCTCCTCCTCGCCACCTCATCAATCAATAGTTTGAATACAATGTCTGAAGTTCTTCCTCAAGGTGCCACGTGGCACGTCAATCTGTCTACATCAGCAAATGGAGAGTATCGTCATCAACCAGGTACGTATCCTCGATAACCACAGTCTTG